AAAATCAATCCCTTCATGAGTCAGTCGCCTAATCGGACAAAGGAAGCTTTACTAGAAAAAGAAAATCTTTGCAGGAAGAAACACTTTGAAACAGTGTTTTACTTCAAAACTAAGCTACTGAGGATTCTGAGATGCTTTCCTAACCTTTTTTGGTTAAAGATAAAACACCCACCCCAACAAACAGAGGAGTTTACATTTAGCTCAGTTTATATCATTAGGAAGCTCTGTGGGAAATCCTTTACAATGTGCAAAAAAGCCTGCAAAACCCCAAAAAACAAAATACATTTTATGGGACTAAACTTGAGGCACTCACAATGGTTCGTGAACAGTACAATTATCACTAAAGCAAGTAATGCTGCAAGCTTTTATTTAGATAAATAGTCACTTATAAAAATCTCAATGCTTTGCAGGAAATTTGCAATTTTAACCGTCTGAAAACCACAGTTCAGCCCATAAGGGTGACAACCCAATTATTTACTTTTCAAATTATATTAAGTCTTCTTCCAATACACAAGGCATGTTAAGGATTTCCAGGGGTTCAAAAATCAAGTTCATTGATCCTGTCCGTGAAAACTTGTTCCAATGTTTCATCAAGCTGAGTGCAACTGCCAAGGCAACTGCCACACGCTAATGCATATTCTAGTATACCAATAAATATGATGCTAGTATCAGCAGATGGTCTCAAGAGCTCTATACTATGACCTTTGACATCGAGCTATTCCCTTAGTTTTCAGCCGACGGGATGTGCACACATTGATAAGAACATGCAGCAAAAGGCTGACTTTAAAACAGCAAAGGTTTAATTTGCTTTCTTACACGGTTTCAATGCAAGTCTTGGCTGAGAATGCACACGCTGAATTTCAACACGAGTAAAAGTCAGATGTGGACTTGAAAAATGAGGCATTCCTAGATTTGGATGAAGTTCACTTTATGCAGAAGCTTTGTGAATACTGTAACATGATAGACTTTAACAGGCTGTTGATTAGAACAACATCTAAAATGGAAGAATGGAAAACTTTAGCACCCTAGGAGGCAAAAAGCTCAAAACAATTGCTGTACCAGCATGAAGAGCTGTAAAACAAGGTTAACATTTTATTTCCTGCTCCATGCTGTGTTTTAGACATGCCTCCAGTTGTGTTTGTTTCTTTGTATACACAACTCTCAAGTGTCCCTGCCTTTTATTTCTTCTTTCTGCCATTGTTGTTTAGTCCTTGGTTTTAGGACATTACCCATAAATTAAAAATAGCCACTTAAGTTAAACCAGCAGCTGTTCCCTGTCCCCAAACTGGAAAGCAGCGGGGCAGATATTCAAAACAAACCAACAAACCAAGAGATGGATGTCCACTCCACTTCTTACAACAAATACTGCTCCTGCCTCATCCTCGCCTATGCTATAAGCATGGGTAAATGTATATGGGCCTTGCAGAATGCCTTGAAACTCCAGGGAAACAGTTTTGAAAAGAAAAAAAAAGCTGTAATACAAGCACGTAAAGTTGATGCTACAAGCTTGACTTCTACGCTCTTTATAACCAGGTTGCTTCTTCTAAGTACAAGGCAGCTCCTCTAACCCCTAAGCAGGGCCAAAAGATTTGCTGTGAACCAATTCCAGGAAGTGCCAAACACTTCTGCCGTATGCTAAATCTTTCCCAAGGCAGGCGCCAAGCAGGCTAGAAAAATGGAGATCTCCTAGCTGTGCTGAACAATCTTCAGCCCAAAACATAAAGAGCTATTTTTGCATTACCTGCTCCACAGAAGAGCCAGTGAAAAAATGATCAGTATTACGGAAGACCTGTTAACAAGCCAATGGTTATTACATACAGAGAACAGCTCAGAAAAAGCAAATTTATCCTGCAGCTTACCTGTGCATACTCTCTCTCAATTGCAGCTCTCTTCTGACTGAATGTCCTGCAAAAAACAGGGGGAGAAATTTCCATTAGCGTACGCAGTAGCATACCGGAAACGTGAACATTTATTAAAAAGGAACCTGAAACGACTTTAGTTCAAGTACACCGACAAGCAGCCTTTATAGTCATGGAGAGATCCAGAAAAGAGCAAACCATTTAACAATTGGATATTGGCAGCCCAGCACCAACTGCAAATAGACTTCATAGTCAGAACCCCATTCATCAAATCCCGTGTCAATGACTACCAGCGTAAATACTGCTTGAAATAAGGTCTCTTCAGCTTCATGCTACTTCTGGGAACAGAACGTGGCCTTCACTCATCCAAATGACTGTATTTATTCGAAGCCAAGATGAGGTTCCCCCTCGCAAATCGGCAAGGGGTAGGAGGCCCTTGTCTTGAATTCAAGTACCAGACTGCAGCAGGCAGCAGCTCAACTCCAGCTTTAGCTCTGGGCTCGTCATGGGGCGGGGGAGCAAGGGAGCAGGGGTCTGGTCCCTCACCTCCCGCTGATGCTTTCCCTGCCATAGCATTGGGGGGGGGGGGGAGGTGAATTTAAGACAACTCCGTACCCCCCCCTCCAATAATCAGATTCTAGACACAGAAAATTATAAATTTGTTCTAGTTCTACGCCTTACCATCTATGAAGTATGCTATAATTTTCCATGTTCAGAATCTAATTGCTATGGGGCGGTCTTAACATTCAAATTAGTCTTTGATTGGCGTAAATATAGTACAGCCATTTTTTTAAAAAAAACTTCTCTACTGGACTGCAGCTGTATATAATATATGTACTAAAGTTAATCCTGTCATAACTCTACCAATTGCTCACCGGATTACAGATAGAGCATAGTCCCAGGTGTAGTCCAGGTCAAATGTTTGCTAGTTTAGGAGGTATTTTGAGGGGGGGAAAAAAACCCTAAAAGAAGAAGAAATCAACATGCTTCATTTCAAGACGCACTTGGTAAATTACTTGGGGTTTACAACAAGGCCTTCTGGGCCAAATCAAGCTTTGTGCTTCTGAGTAAATCTGGAGTAACTACAGATTTATCTTAAGTCAGTCCGAGTTTACACCTACATAGTATGACTATGGTTTCATTCAATCATACCCCAACATAAGAAAGGAGCCTGTGGGCTTCCAGTGTATACTTGAATCCAAAGGTCCAAGTTTGCAGCAAACTTGTGGGATATATTTTAAAGCAAAGGACTCTACCCTCTTTTAGGTCTCCTCAAATTCTGGTATGTTTCTGTACTGTTTAATGTTAGACCTTGGGATGACAGCCTACGACCTGCATGCTGAATCTGCCCCAGAGCCACTGGACTGGGGCCCACAGAGCTGGGGCTCTGGCGGTGTTCAGTGTCTGGCAGGGGTGATGGGCTTTACCTGTACTGTGCCATGGCTGGGCAGCCATGTGGCAGTGAACCCTGCCCGTGTCATGTCATGGCAAGGTTCAGGGATGAAAAAAAGTGACAGCCAGGTCCCAACACCAGTCTGCCTCAGACCTGAGCTGGGTCTTCTGGCCACTGGAAAACACCGCCTGCTGCTGTGTTCAGTGAAGCAAAACACGATAGTACAACGGGAAGGGGTCAAACCATGATCAAACCTCTTCAGACTGACAGCTATATAGGTGTGACAAGAAATTTACTTTTTATCCTCATAAAATATGAATTTTCATTTCAACCTAGGAGAACTTTTACAATCTCTGCTCTCTCCTATGCCCGATAAAAGTTGTGTGTGCCCGGAAGCTTGCAAATAATTTGTTTGCAAATATTTAGTTGGTCTAAGACATCCCCTCTTCCACAAATTGTGATTCCTTTTTAACCTAAAGCAGCTACGCACCAGCATTTTCCTCGGCCTACAGCGTAAATAAAGTAAGCTTTTCAAATATTAAAAACCATGTTCTCCTACTACCCCTAAGAATATGCTGTGCACAAAACCTTCAACTTGAATTCTAGTTAAACTGACTGCACACTAATGATAGTGATGAGCTGGAAGTTAATATAAGTATCCTGCAAGAACATCCTATAATAGGTAGAATGTAAGAACAAAAAAGGCACTTAGTGGTTTTTGGTATTGCTCCTCAGTCTTTTAAGCCCCAGGCTTGCAAACATTGATTGACAGACGTTGTGTTAGAGGTTCAATCTTTTAGATAAGATATAGAGCAAAAGTCCTAACCAACTGTGAACAGTTCCTTAGGGTCTTTAGACTGAGGATGTTAACCAACCTTATTTGAAAACCTATAGTCAAATCTAAACGCAAAATAACTTTAATTATTTTGTACCCAACTGGGTGCAAGAGTCTCACTGTATTCTGAACAGAACACCACTAAGTGCAAAGCCACTTATTTGATTGAATGTTGAGTTGTGCACTGCTAGAAACACTAAGATCACCTTGAGCATGGCAGCAGTCTCCAGTCTGATGGAGGGGAGAGAGTTGGACAGTACCAGCTGTATAAGCAAGAAACATTTGAAATCAATTTTAGATTTGATTCCACGATATTTAAAACGTGTAGTCACTTTAAAATAAATGGCTTTTAGACAAAATGGATCTGGATGGGATATCAGGCAGTAATCTACTCCAACCCCTGCTCAACCTCAATCTCCCTTGCTCCAATTTAAAGACTATTACGTACTTCTTTTCCTGTCCCCCGTGGCCACAGAGAATCACCATCCTCTTTCTAACCACCTTTCAATGGCTAAACCAGAGGTTCTCAACCTTTTTAGACTCAAGTCAACCCTCACCCACCCCTGCCACCCACCCCCACCCCATAACCTGTGTGAATGAACTGCACCCAATTTGAAAAACAATTTTTGATATAACAGTGCTTACCTCCATACACAAAAGTTGGGCAATGGGGTGGAGGGCACAAGGGTGCCAGGCAGGGACAAGCCTGAGCCTGGTTTATCTGCTTATCTCTTCATACCTCACTTATCTAGACTCCCACCTTGCAGCACCCTTCAAAGAATTTGGTAGTACCACAGGGTGCCCAGGCACCTTGGTTGAGAATCACAGGTCTAAGGATGGTTATCAAATGCACATCAGATGTCTTTCCTTCTCTGGACTAAATAATTTCAGTTCTTCCAACCTTCCCTTGTAAATCATGTTTCCTAGACTTCCAATCATGTTTAGATTTCTGCGATAGCCTCTTTCCAATTTGCCTGTCTTTCTCAAAGTGCGGTGCCCAAAACCAGATATAGTACACTGGGTGAGGCTTCAGAGTTGAACAGAGCGGAGAAATCGCATCCTTTGACTTGCATGCAACACTCCTGTTAATATATCCCGGTATGCTAGTGATTTCTTTTCCAGCAATAGCAGACTGCTGACTCCCATTCAACTTGCAGTCCACTATAGCCCTAGGATCCTTTTCTGCAGTACCACAGCTTAACTAATCACTTCCCTCCTCCGCCTGTATTATTTTAGGCATGTACAACTCTGCACTAGTCCTTACTGGATGTCATTCAATTAACTATGAGCCATTTCTCCAATTCAAGATCATTTTGAAATATCAACCTGTCCTCCAAAATACCCGCCACTCTGTTCACCTTGGTGTGAACTGCAAATTTACGACATGTGCCCTAGATTCCACCTGCCAAATCATTAATGAAGATACGAAACAGTACTAGACTCCTGAGCAACCCCGCCTGGCATCTCCTCCCAGCTTGACACTGATGATTCTTCGAGCACAATGATCCAACCAGTAGGACACCCACACGGTACGTTCTCAGTTTATTAATGAGAATGTATTCAGGAGACGGTGTCAAAAGCTTTGCTAAAGCCAAGGTATATCACACCCATTGCTCTCCTCCAATTCACAAATCCCATCCTGTTGTCATCAAAGTAAACTGGATTAGTTAAGCATGACTTGCTCTCAACAATTCCAAGTTGGCTATTACTGATCATCTTGTCATCCTGCAGGTGCTTACAAGGGGATTGCTTGAGGACGTGCCCCAGAATCTTTCCAGGTATTTTATGCCATCACCAAGCCCAGTCTACACAACACTTACATTGGGGGATTCAAGCTGTTCATGTTTTATTGTAATGAGAAAAGAGCAAGTACGTGGGATTGACAGGATCATCTATTTGTATTCCATGATGGCGGCATTCTTTCCTATGTGAAAATTTCCCCAGACTTGTACGACAAAGCTGTTTTTCAACCTCAGGCCAGTTTATACGGGAGTCCTCTTAGGACAACTATACAGATAGAACAAAAAACATGAAGGAAAGTGAAGATTTACGCAGGCAAATTTCCCAAGAGCAAAAAGAAAATTCTGCTAAAAAACAACACAGACTGACTGATGTGAATGATTTGATGCTGTCTTACTATGAAAAATGTGACAATTTGCATGGTTATGATTGCACATTAGAGATTTTTATTTTTAACCTATTTGTTATTCAAGTTGGAAGTTTATGTTCATTTACTACCAGAAAAATATTTGGCATTCTGGAGCTGAACAACACATTCTATAATTTTTGATCTGGAAGACAGAGGTTACGCATTGTAACAAGCCAGCGTATATTTAAAATGGTTTTTGAACATCTCTCTAATATTTTTTATTTGTAACATAAAAAAATTATTGGATGAATTGAAAATAGTTTTGCAATTTCTTTCGATTACTTTGTTTCTAGATAGTAATCACTGTCTTCTCAGCCCAGCCCTACAAAGTAGCTCAAATAGTATTCTCGAATCCTTTCATAATCTGATTAAATTCAATGAGCCTATGTGCACAAACAAGCATACCCATGTGAATGGCTACTTGCAAGATAATATAATATTTGCTAAAAACAAGATTATATCAGAAGTGGGCTTCAATATAAATGTAATGCATTCATACATTCAAAATTCCAAGACAGAAAATGAAAGGATTAATTAAACCTAAAATTCAAATCTAAATCGCCGTGTTGCCAATGTCTCGAATCTTATCATAAATGTGATATTTGCTCCAGCTCCTGAAATTACATTATTCTGTATAAAAAAACTCAGCTCCCACTTTGTAAAGTGTGTATAGTTATTCTGGTTGTGGAGAAAAGTTTAAAAATTACCTCAAATGGCTTTAAAAAAAAAAAAAAGAGAGACACCCAAGGAGTCCAAACCATGCAATTTTTAGTCAACAATGTTATACTGTCTTTTTGAAGCATGGATCTTGATTTTTGAATAGCCAGGGTTGGGAATACTTGAAGCGAGCTGAAACACTCATTTGTTTTACATAAATGTTAGTTGTTTCATTCCTTTTGCAAGTGCTCAAACTCACTTTTCAGGGCAAAGAGAAATCGTTGACAAGTTGCTTTACCAAGAATAAAAAAATGAATAGATTTCACTTCAAATTATACACACTGAAATGAGTTAATCTGTAATAGCAGTCAAAAGCAACAATGATGGCATAGGCACTGGCATCTAGAATTCAACTAAAAATCAGTCACTTGTTTTAATGGATCTGTTAATGACAGGCAAACAATAGCACCCTTGAGGTTTTTCTTGCCTATAAAAACAGCTAGCAGTATTGTATGGGTAACTGATACAGAGGTTATGCACAGATCCAATTAATTCTAGGTTCCCAATCAAAAGTGAGCAATTTGTATACTTGCATATGCCAGCTAGTTCGGAAAATAATGAAAAAGAGGGAAATTAGGTCTGTATTCCCCATGCTTCCATTAAAACTGCTCTTTCTTCTACCTTTCACAGGTCTATCACTCACATAACTCTTGGCTTCTGCTGGACATAGTATATCCCAGGGCAATCCGATGGGCAGCTCCCTCCTAGCCATGACCCCCTCTATCACTGCAGCTGCAATAGCAGCCAAAGTCTCTGGGCTCCCCGTCCTTCCAGCTTCCACGCTGTGCACCAGCCTTAGTTGGCAGGGCAGCACAGGCATGGACCGGGGCGCTCGGGGTGAGGCCAGGGCAGTGGTGGGGAAGGGGAGTGTCCACGTGGGGTCTTTGCAGCAGCGGGGGGTGGAGAAGGGGCTGTGCAGTGCAATGTAGGAAGGGGTGTCTATATGGCACAGGGGCCCATGACTGCCACTGGTGCAGCCCACAGGGCACGTGCTCCATGAGACATATGGCTCCTGGGTGCTTAGAAGTTAAACAGCCCTGGCCTATAAGGTGCAAATCTACCCTGCCTTGCTGGAATGTTATTCACCTATTTATGCAGATCAAAACCATGATGCAAAAATCTCTGAAGGAAGGGTGGGGGAGAAGCTTTGTTTTCACAATATTCCATATTTTTGCCTGGTATTGAGTATACAGCGGTAGCTCTCAACAACATTTCAATAATTTTTAAATATAGCATTTACTCAATTCTAAGATGAAGTTTCCCCACCCTATTTCTTACAGGAAGGGGAAGCCCTTCGTCTTATAATCACGTACGAGGGGGGTGGAGGGGAGAAAGCTGCTGTGGCTG